GGTCGGCCAGGACTGGGAGGCGAAGTGTCGTCGTCCGAATAACGGCCAAGCGGCATCGACCGATCTTCCTACCCCTAGTTCGTACGAAGCGTCAACTTGTTTCCCTTCTGTTCCGCGAATATCGGACCTTCAATTTGCCCGGCGCGGTTCGCTAACGCTCGCGCGATGCGCTGCCCTTTGCGCTCGACGCGCGTCGCTTATCTCATAAATCTCCCAGAATTCGTAAACCAAACTTAGGCTTGTTCGATGTCCCGCCGAATTCGGCGACGCGTGTTACGAACGAACAAACAAACGAACAAACAAACGAACGAATAAACGAACGAACGAACGAACGCACGTTCGCACGCACGCTGGCGTTTCCGTTCCCTCCGAGGGAACTTTTTGCCAAAGTTTGTTCGCGCCGATAGCTCGTCCCGGGGAAGTTTCGCGTCGAGCCGGCGCGCGGCGAGACAAACTTCGACGGAGGCGTCGAAACGCGAGACACCTTGGATATTCTCTCCCGTTTCTTCTTCGTTGGTCGCCTTCCGACTGAACGGATTAATAACGCGTAGCAAATGGAAAAACCGCGTGAGCATGCGATTTCTTTCAGATTGGCCAGCGCGCGATCACGGCTGACCGATGGAGAGTTACGAGGACGACGACGACACGCACTTTTGCATCAAGTGTCATCTGACGGTACACGGTCTCGAGAATTACGTTCGGCACCGTCAGTCCGGGTGTCGTCCACCGGACGACAAGAACGAAGCGGCTCGCGTGTCGCCGACCACGCCGACCACCGTCTCCTACCCCGAAATACTGAACGCGGACGCGTTCTTCAGCTCGTTGGAATTGCGAAGCAGCACCAAGTCGAATCCCCGACGAACGTCCGCGTTGCTGGACGAGAGCAGGAAATTCAAGAAAGATGAGAAGCGGAAAAAGGGCCAGAAAATGCACGCGGACGCCGCGGAGGAATCAGCGGCGAAGGAGAAGCTTCACAGTATGCTGCCCGGTGTCTCGGAGCTCGACGATCCGACAGAACACCTCTGTATCTCGTCGCTGGTCGGTTTTCCCGATATCGTCACTTCCGCGTCCGGTAAGTCCACGGTTACGAGCAGTCGGAACAAATTAAGCCAGTCGATGAGCCATGTCGGCGCGAGCATCGAGGGCGGCGCGTTCCCGACCAAGCACGAGCCGGAAAACTCTTTGGAGAGCTTGATGACGTCTCACGAGTCTAAGCAGACGGACAGGAAGCGACAAGAGGAGACGCAGAGGATCGAGCAAGTTCATCAAACTTGGCTGGAGGACACGATACTCGCCGAGTTGGTGTCGAACAACGAGAACAAGGAGTTGCCGAGGTACGAGTTCGAATACCAGCAGGACGACGAATCGGACGACGATACTTTGGAGGAAGATTTAGGGGAGGAAGATTCTTATTCAGAGTCCGAGGACGGGGAGGATCGTGAACGCCCGCCGCGTGGCCATACCGGCGGCAAATGGAAACCCGGATTGAACGATCTGCCCCAAAATATGTCTCAACTTCACGACGACGATGTAGAGCCGGACGAGGAACATCAAGAACATCCACCGCCGACTTATACCGGCGGAAAATGGCGGCCAACCGAGAGCTCTCAGGTTCGTCGGGAATCGAGACCGGACGATGACGGATAACCGAATCGTCCCGGTTGATTCCGTTCGGCGAAAACAATCTATCGAATACTCTGTTTCAGAAGATCGAGGACTACGAAGCCAAGAGCAACGCCGGACAACCGCCGCCAGGACACACGCGGGGGAAATGGGTACCGGGAGCGCAAACGGATATCGAATCGGGATATTGGTGCAGTCCTTGCGGTAGGAAACTTGCCTCCCGATTGGTCTACAACAGGCATCTTTTGTCCGATTTGCACGCCAGAAGAAGCATCCGCGAGTTGGACGGTGTTTTTCCGCAGTCTCGCATCGCTAGTTTGCATCCGCCGCGGAAAACGTCGACGCGCACACAGGTAATTATCGCTGTGTTGTCGTTTAATCTTGATAAGTTCCCGTTAGCCGGTGATTAGTTAATCGTTCCGCTAATCGATTTGCTCGACTGACCGATCATCGACAGAAAATCAAGGAAACATCGGAGGCGAAAGAGGTGAAGAAGAATTCGAGGAGAAGGGAAAAGGAAATTCTGAGCTGCGAGATGTGCCACGCTCGAGTGAGGAGGGCGCAAATGGGCAAGCATTTGCTCTCTCATTATCACTGCCGCGTCGCGGGCGTAAATCCTCGCGGGCCACGAGCCCGTCGCTTTTTACTGGAAAATATGGCGAATGTGGTTCGGCAGTGTCCCTTTCAGTGTTCCTCTTGCCGGTTTTATTGCAATACGGAGGAAACGTTTCTGCTTCATTGGCGATCCGATCTTCACGCAAACACTCTCGAGCAGGTTGTATCTACCTCGTTCCCGTTCGTTTCGATTTAACGCGTGTTATTCGACCAGTGCAGCACGCTCGACTTTTATCGTCCTCGTCGGTTTTCCAGATCGGCGGCAGCTACACGTGCACCCCGTGCGATTTTTGGTGCGACGAGAACGAGGCGATGGATGCCCACTTGTCGAGCACGAGCCATCGCGACGTCGTGTCGATGATGAACGGGTCCGTGCCGGTGGTGATCGGTCGTCAACGAGCGTTAACTTGTCCCGGCTGCGATGGCCGGTTCCGATATAATTTGCAGCTGAGATTACACGCGAAGGAAACCGGTCACGAGGAAAGTTTCACCGCGTCCGATGCGTATCAGCGGCGAATCAAATGCGACCTGTGCCCGCAAATCGTGCGGTCCCTGGTGGCTCTTCAGCGTCACCAGTTGAGTCGGCACGACGCGAAAGCCGACGCGGGGCCCAGCACGGAACCAGGCTCGGGACCGATCGCGGGGCCCAGCGCGGCACCTAACGCGGCACCCGACGCGAAGGCGGAACGCGAGGCGGACGACTCGACCCGGCTGCCCACCCCCTATTTCTGCTCGTTCTGTTCGATGAATTTCGCGACCGCTCAGGAGGCGGTGTTGCATCGGAGAACCTCCAGTCACAAGGAGACGGTGAAGGCCCGCAAGTACAGCGAAGATTCGACGGCGAGCACGACTCGGCAGTGCACCCGTTGCGGGGGGAAGCAGGCCAATTTGTCGGAGCACAAGCAGCATCTTCTGCGCGAACATCCCGAGGTGTGTCACAGGTAAGCTCCCGGCGATGCTGGACGGAACCGGATAGATCGCGTCACGCGAAACAGGGGATAATCGATGTTTTTTGCGCAGGTGTCCCAAATGCGGCATGCTTTTTGCCCTTTCGCAAGACGTGACGAGACACACGAGGGAGAACAACTGTCGGGGCGATAACAAATTAAACGCGGCGAGGACGGCAGCCGTCACGGACGAATGGAAATGCGGCAGCTGTAGTTTCTCAACGGATTCGCGAGCGGAATTCATCTTTCACGAAGCTCTTCACGCCGGGATCGTTCGAAAGGATAACGACGAGGAGCCGGAGCACGGGAAATCGTTACCGAAATATTCCTGCCCCGTTTGCAAGAAGACGTTCGCCAAAGTATCCTTGCGGAACCACATCAGAAGCCACACGGGGGAACGTCCGTTTCCGTGCGCCAAGTGTTCGGCCTCTTTCACCAGAAGATCAGACCTGAACGCTCATCTGAAAGCGTGCACGGGCTCGACGCCGTCGGCATGGCCGAACGAATCGGCCCGGAAACGCAGCTTCGTCTGTTCCGAGTGCAACGACGCTTTCTACACGAAGTGAGTATCCCGTTCGTCCCGCCGTTTCACGATTTCTATTCCGAACGTCGTTCACAACCGGGAGAAACCGTCTCCCCGACACGAACAAAATTATCGGTCGATTAATAATTTTAAACGATCGCTCGCGAATGGCGCGTAAAAGTAATTGCCTGGGCACGTTCTTCGTGCACGGAACCGCCGGACGGGTCGCGTGACGTATAGCGAACATCGTGTCGTGACAACAATGGGTTTTAGCGTAGAAAACTCGCCGCGTTATACGGCCAACGAAAGGACCGTATTTATCATGAGATTTCCGGTTAGCTGCAATCGCGCCGCATCGATCGTGGATCGGGTGCATCGAACGGCCCGTGACCGCGGCTCTTACGAAACGGCTCTTGCCTTCGAACGTCTCGCGGATCTCGCGTTCCGTCTTCGCTCGGATTTACCAGCTCCGTGAATGCGTCAAGCATCGCGGCGCAACGGACAACCGCAGTTTTCGCCTTTCTACGTTCTCGCATTGTAACGGTCGAGAACCGCGCGGGCTCGCTCTCCGCCGTGCCGATCTCCGTCTTTCGGTGGAAAGGCACGCGTTTCGGGGATAAAAAGTGAGGAACAATAAAAGCCGGCGTCGCGGACAGAAACCACGAAACGTTCGCGCGGTCGTAGTAAAAGTGTCCTCGCTGCATAACTATAAAATAAAAGACCGTATCCGTGGCCCGGCCGAGGAGGGGAGGGAACCAAAAAGAGCGAATCGCTGGTGGGTACGAGTTTCCTACGAGGGGAAAAGGGTTCCGATGGAACAGAGAAAACTCCGAACGGAAGAAAGAGGGAGCGGCGAAATGGAGGAAGGTTCGAAGGGAAGAAGGGGCGGAAAGGGTGGACGCAGCAACCAGGAGGAAGCGACTTCGCTCTTTGCCACCGGCTCGTATTAACATCTCATAGCGGCCCGTAAGCCCCACGGGTCATTCTAGTATTTAACGGGCCTGCATTATGGTCCGTGCAAGTGCACGTTCTACGACTCTCTAATACTAACGTATGCAAATAGAATCCCGTGCGCGTTAATGCTTCGATATACTAGTGAAATAACAGGCGCGGGCAGCGTGCTCGGTCGCCTCCGCGGAAA